GATAAAGAGAGAATCTTAAAAACAGCAAGAGAAAGAAACTCAGTTACCTACAAGGGAATACCCATACGACTGTCAGCTGATTTCTCAACAGAAACTTTGCAGGCCAGAAGGGAGTGGCAAGAAATATTCAAAGTGATGAATACCAAGAACCTACAACCAAGATTACTTTATCCAGCAAAGCTATCATTCAGAATTGAAGGTCAGATAAAGAGCTTCACAGATAAGGAAAAGCTAAAGGAGTTCATCACCACCAAACCAGGATTATATGAAATGCTGAAAGGTATCCTTTAAGAAGAGGAAGAGGAAGAAAAAGGTAAAGATACAAATTATGAACAACAAACATGCATCTATCAACAAGTGAATCTAAGAATCAAGTGAATAAATAATCTGATGAATAGAATGAACTGTTGATTATAATAGAATCAGGGACATAGAAAGGGAATGGACTGACTATTCTTGGGGGGGATAGGGGTGTGGGAGATGCGGGAAGAGACTGGACAAAAACCGTGCACCTATGGATGAGGACAGTGGGTGGGGAGTGAGGGCGGAGGGTGGGGCGGGAACTGGGAGGAGGGGAGTTGAGGGGGGGAAAAAGAGGAACAAATGTAATAATCTGAACAATAAAGATTTAATTAAAAAATAAAAAATAAAAAAAAATAAAAATAAAAAAAAAGTAACCTAAAGACAAAAAAAAAAAAAAAAAAAAGTACAACTAAAAGACTGAACGGACATCATCCAGAACCACAGGAAGGCTGGCTGAGTGGAAATTCTACAACTATAAGGAAAGAGAAAAGCTTACCGAGACTCAGAGGAGGAGCAGTGCGGAAGTAAAATACTAAGGTACAGAGGCGCACGTGGAGCGAGCAGGTGGCTGAGGGCGCGGTTGTCTTTTTCAATCGGGAGGGAGTCTCAGGCTCTGAGCTCAAGTTCTGGGCAAGTCTTTGGGGACCCATACTCATACGGGAGAAACGGGACTGTCTGGCATTGGTCAGAACTCGAGAGCAGCTTTCTCTCGGAGGTGCTTGCAGTGATTACCAGGACACTGAGAAGCGGAGCCTCTGAGGGCAGGACTGAGAGCAGCCGTAACTGCTATCCCAGCCCTGTTGATCCCGTGAGACCTGCCCCGCCCAAGCCCTGCATGGAGGCTTTTGCTGGGTAGCCTCAGGCACAGGCTAGATTAGCACCTCCCTAGAGATCTAGAAGCTGGTGTGCCTGGTGGTCAGAGTGGGACCATCCAGTTTGCAGCTCCTCAGATCAATAAAGGACACACTCAGGGGGCAGACTCAGTGAGCACCAAAGCCCCACTGAAGCAAGAACTTCTCCCACTGCGGACACAGCTGATTCTCACAGCCAATTGGCCTGGAGGTCAATTCCTGCCAGTGATACCTACAACAATCAAGGCTTAACTACAACAAGACTGTGCACAACGACCACAAGGGGGTGCACCAAGAGTGTCCTCCTCAGGTAATTGGGGAGGCTGAACCACTGGGCCCTAGAGGACACTTAGCACAGAAAACCACTTTATCAACACAGAGTAGCATAAAAAAATGCGGAGACAAAGAAACAGGACACAAATGACAGAAATGGAGGAAAGCAAACTACTGGATATAGAGTTCAAAACCACACTTTTAAGGTTTTTCAAGAACTTTCTAGAAGCCGCCGATAAATTTAGTAAGACCCTCGAAAAGACTGGTGAGACCGCTGATAAATGTAGTGAGATTCTCAAGAAATCTAGTCAGACCCTCGAGGTTATGATAAAGGACCAACTGGAAATTAAGCATACACTGACTGAAATAGAGGATATTATACAGACTCCCAACAGCAGACTAGAGGGTCGCAAGAAACCACCGATAAATTAAGTGAGACCCTCAAGAAATCTAGTGAGACCCTGGAGGTTATGAAAAAGAACCAACTAGAAATTAAGCATACACTGACTGAACTAAAGAATATTATACAGAGTTCCAACAGCAGACTACAGGATCGCAAGAATCAAGTCAAAGATTTGAAATACAAAGAAGCAAAAATCACCCAGCTGGAAAAGCAAAATGAAAAAAGAATCCAAAAATATGAAGATAGTGTAAGGAGCCTCTGGGACAGCTACAAGCGTATCAACATCCAAATTATAGGGGTGCCAGAAGAAGAGAGAGAGCAAGATATTGAAAACCTATTTGAAGAAATAATGACAGAAAACTTCCCCTACCTGGTGAAAGAAATAGACTTACAAGTCCAGGAAGCGCAGAGAACCACAAACAAAAGGAACTCAAAGAGGACTACACCAAGACACATCATAATTAAAATGCCAAGAGCAAAAGACAAAGAGAGAATCTTAAAAGCAGCAAGAGAAAAACAGTCAGTTACCTACAAGGGAGTACCCATATGACTGTCAGCTGATTTCTCAACAGAAACTTTGCAGGCCGGAAGAGAGTGGCAAGAAATATTCAAAGTGATGAATAGCAAGAACCTACAACCAAGATTACTTTACTCAGCAAAGCTATCATTCAGAATTGAAGGTCAGATAAAGAGCTTCACAGATAAGGAAAAGCTAAAGGAGTTCATCACCACCAAACCAGTATTATATGAAATGCTGAAAGGTATCCTTTAAGAAGAGGAAGAAGAAGAAAAAGGTAAAGATACATATTATGAACAACAAATATGCATCTATCAACAAGTGAATCTAAGAATCAAGTGAATAAATAATCTGATGAACAGAATGAACTGGTGATTATACTAGAATCAGGGGCATAGAAAGGGAATGGATTGACTATTGTTGGGGGGAAAAGGGGTGTGGGGGATGCGGGAAGAGACTGGACAAAAATTGTGCACCTATGGATGAGGATATTGGGTGGGGAGAGAGGGCGGAGGGTGGGGTGGGAACTGGGTGGAGGGGAGTTATGGGTGGAAAAAAGAGGAACAAATGTAATAATCTGAACAATAAAGATTTAATAAATAAAATAAAAAAATAAAAAATATATATTTCAAATAAAAATAAATGAATAAAGCTGACTATGAAATAAAATGTACAGTATGGCTCAGTTTTGCTCTAAAATGTGCATAAAAATAAGACTAGAGAATATATACGTCAGTTTATAATGATGGTCACCTATGAGTGATAGATACTGGTTTGACATTAATTTTGCTTATTTACATGTCCTCATTTTTCTACAATGAACATTAGTTTTATATTAGAAAACAACAACATTGTAAATCTATATATATAAAGGCCTAAGCCAGTGGTCGGCAAACTCATTAGTCTACAGAGCCAAATATCAACAGTACAACGATTGAAATTTCTTTTGAGAGCCACATTTTTTAAACTTCAACTATATAGGTAGGTACATTGTTATTAACTTAATTAGGGTACTCCTAAGGCTTAGGAAGAGACACACTCCAGGGGCCAAAGAGCTGCATGTGGCTCGCAAGCCGCACTTTGTCAACCACGTGCCTAAGTGACCGTGAGACCGTTTGACTGTCCTACCAGTAGCTATGATGTGCAATGCCCACCAGAGGGCAGATGCTCCAACCAGTAGCTATGATGCACACTGACCACCAGGGGGCAGATGCTCAATGAAGGAGCAGCAGAGCTGCATTGACTTGGCAGCTGTGGTTCTCGGGTGACAAACTGGGAACCAGATAAGAGGGAGCCAGATTCTGGGATATGTCACCCGAGAACCACCCTCTCGAAATCCAGGACCCTCGGGGGATGTCAGAGAGCCAGTTTCGGCCTGTTCCCCACAGGCCAGGCCAAGGGACCCCACCTGTGCACAAATTCATGCACCGGGCCTCTAGCCTGAAAATAAAATACCCAAGTCTACCATTTCTTTATCTGAGACTCTGTACTAATCAAGTTCACTCGTGTGATCCTCCCTTCTTAAACTATGGTTTCACCTTGTCCATGCCTCTCTTACCATGGACTTTGCACACTGTTCTAGTTATTGAATGGGTATACATTTGCTCTTCCAGATTTGAGTTTGTAGTGGATAGGGCTGTGCTTTACTAATCTGTGATCTTTAGGAGCTGGTATAAAATCAGTGCTTAATACACATTTATGGAGTGAATCATTTAAAGGGGAGATAGGCACCTCAAAGAACTAAAGGATCAAAACTGTCACTGAGGTGGGGAACCCGGATGTGGAAGATAACAGTGTTGCTGGTGCTGGAGGGTAATTTGAGAAATCTACTCTGTCATACTCAGATGGTGGGCTTCAGCGGAGTCCCTGGGGCAATAGTGCATCATTGAAACAAACAGGGACATTATTGGTTTTGTAGAGAAAAAGAAAGACTCTTTTTCAGACAAACACATTCTGAGTTGACAGAGGAGAACTTATGACCAATGTCATAGTCAACAGCCATCCGGGGGGTGCCTGAAGCAGCTGAGTGAGCTGTTGCATGAAGGAAGCATGTGTGAGGGAGAATCAGAGGCAGGTGGGCTGGATGGCGGGCAGCTGCTGCCAGCATGGGGGTGGAAGTGCACCCAGGAGAGATGGTAGCCATTGTGACAGAGACAGGAAGAGAAGCAGCAGCGCAAGGCAGGGCCACAGCAGGCCACCCAGAAGCAGAGAGGGAAGGTCACATGGTCATATATTGCTGCGGAGGATCCTAGGTGGACAGAGAATGGGGGTCAGATTTTGTTGTTAGAAGTCACTGATCACATCAATTAGAGTAGACCCTGGGGCCAGGCTCAGTGAGAGTGCCCCCAGTGCCCAGGACAGTGATACCAACAGAGGAGCAGGAGAGTGGAGAGAGGGGAAACACTTACAGAAATGCACCTGTAGTCGTTCCTGCTTGTCTGTGCTGTCCACCATAATTCAGTAGAAGCCTTTCAATGCGGTGGCAGAATGTAAAGAAGAAAGTGAACAGCAGGAGCTCCATGTCAGTTTGGACACATATCCTCAATGTAAAGGGAATGAAAATATTATTCATAAAGTTTTTATCCTGAATCTCATAAAAACAGTGCAGCAAATGCCAAGAATATGGGTCTAGGTTCCAATGCTTCAAAAGGACCTCCTTCTTGGCCAAGTGCAGCAGAGAGGGAAGCCGCTCCCGAGACAGGCTGCATTTGAAGATGCTCTCCATCTCTCTCATCCCCTGATCACTCAAAAGACCAAACAGGAAACATGTGGTTGGTTCCCCAAATAGGTCATGCCTGTCATATACATCTGTCAAGTCTATTGTAATTATGATGTTATTAAAGCAATCACCTTTCAACACTCCATCGCCTAAAGCATAGGACATTGCTGCAAAGAACTCCTGGAAGCACCGGTGAATGAAGCTGTAGCTCCGAGGGGTGGGGTGCTCTTGAAGAACACCCATGTTTAAGAGACTGGAGATGTTGGCCCCATCTAACCCGTGTTCCCTGAAGTCCTCGGGGCTGAACAGAGTCTTTCCTTGACAGGTGCCTTCAGCAGCCAGAGAGCAGAAACCTCTCAACTTAGTCCTGAGGGACTGAGCCTGGAGAACGTGGAAAAAGTAGTGGAGACAGAGGGCTGTGGTCGTCTGGGAGGTCAGTGGGAGTGGTTGCTCCTGCTCCATCTGTTGCTTCAGGCAAGTGCAGACCAGCCAGGATACCAAGGGCATGAGACACATGGTCAAGAGAGCCGGGTTGGATTCAACCGAGATAAAGGCTCTAATCGCTTGGCTCTCATCTGTGAAATATTGGGAGAAATACTTTTTCCTGGCTGACTCGGAGAATCCCAGGACCTCTACCCAGCGAGGATGCTTTAAAGAAGGAATGAGGTTTCTCAGAGCTGTGATCCGAGCTGTGATCAGCAGGGAAGCCGTGGGAAGTAAGGTTTTCTTCAGCAAACTGCCCAGCAGTGTGTGCACCTGCTGCTGCTGGCTCCAGTGTGGACAGAGCTCAGAACTCTGCTCCTTCAAGTCCCATTTTGGTTCATCTAAGTTATCAAGAATGAAGAGCAGCTGCTCTGGCTGAGACAGGATCTGCCCAATGGGAGCATCAGGAGCCGCCCAGTCTTTTGTGATGAGCTCAGCGAGACTCATGGTCTCAGACTGGGCCAGCTCTCTGCAGTTGAAGTAGAAGACATGCTTGAAGCGGTCCTTGAACAGCCTGCCTTCCTCCCATGCTCCCCTCACCTGCCTGGCCAGGGTTGACTTCCCGATTCCAGCAACTCCATGCACCACAACAGTGGGAGGCTCCTCCTGGGTACTCAGCCCTGGGCCAAATAAGTCTCCAATCTCCATCCAATTTCCTTGTTCATCTACCACCTCATGATTCCTTCTCCTGAGTAGAAAGTCATAGCCTCTGGGTTGAGATCTGTGTAGAAGTAGCAGTTGTGTGAATTTTTGGTGCAAATACTCATTTCTCCATGACTGTGTGGGGCAGGAACTCTCTCTTCTTTGGTTTTGGTATTTTTCTTTGATTCCTGCAGAAACAAGAGAAAGATGGAACATTTGTTTAATTGTTTCTTCATTTATGCATTCCACATATTTTTTGAACTCACTTAAAGCTACACACTGTGCTGGCTGCTGATACTGGTACATTCTTTTCATATCATGGAGGAAATATGGGTTTTTGGGGAGAAGATCCCTGCTTAAGTTTTGACTTGCGCAAATCATTCTCATAGTGTGATGTGTCTTCCTTCTGCAAATATTAATCAATGGCTAACACTGCCAGACACTGATTTAGAGGCCTGGGATAAAGAGTGAACAAACAGACACACCTGTTTACTCTCATTAATTCCATGACCTGAGCTATTAGCCCCACTGAGCTTACAATTTTTTATTAATAAATTGTAAGAGGTCATGGTCGAGTGAAGGAGATAATGGATGGTGAAACAGATACTATTGATTCCTGACAGAACTCTCTTTGCACCCACCACTGAAGTACATGCCAAGGATAATCTGCTACAATCACCTCAGGTCATCTGTCTGAGGGCTCTCTCCAAGAAAATGAGCATGACAGGCCAGAAGCCCCAGGGAATTAAAGCTCCAGGATGAGTGCTTAACCCCTGACAGAGGCAGTTCCCTGTCCCCCAGCAGAGACATCTCTGACGTGTGTTCTCCGCTGTCTCCTGGAGATCCCTAGTACATCGAACCTCAGTTGCCCCACAATGCAGGTTTCATTGGTTTCTCCCTTCCCTTCCCACTTCTCTCTCCTAATGGTGCTTCCAGGCAACCAATTCCTGAATAAGCCACCTGCTCTCTAATTTAGTGTCAGGGTCGGCTTCTGGGGAAAACCACCTGGGCAGAGGAGGAAGTGGTTTGTGAACAGTGAGGAGCTGAGCACATGTCAGGGACTGTGCCCTTGGGAAGGAACTCAAGTTCATATCTTAGTCAGATTCCAAGTCAAATTACTGTTACATCCTCTTCCCTTCAGAATATTTTGAGTGACTCTGACCTTTCTCCTTAGGTGAATGTTTGTGATGATACAAGCGACCCACCTGGGATCCTGAAGCCCAGTTTATCTTGGGAAACCTGCTGGACCTCCAAAGTAGGTGGGGCCAATTTTCACCCTTTGCTTGGTGAGAAAAGGATGTCAGGTGCCCACCCCACCTCTGGAATCATGATCTAAAGATCTACTCTTATTGTCTCTTGTGAAAACATTTCTGGCAAAGTGAAGATCTTCCGTATGGCCACTCTAAGTCATGGTTATGGCCCACCCCACTCTGAATCCTGTGATTGCCTGAGGTCTTAGGTCTTTTGGTGCGATGTTCTCCAAAATATCCTGGTTTTAATGGATCTGCTTGCATTCCACATATCTAAATCCTCTTGATTTAGTAAAACTTTCAAAATTCTCCCCTACCACCAATAATTCTAACAAGTTACTTTTTAATATTATGCTTTGGACCAAGGGTTGGCAAACTATGGCCAAATCTTGATGACCAACCTGTGTCTTAAGAATGTTTGAAAAATTCAAAGAAGAAGACTATTTCATGACATGAAAATTATATAAAATTCAAGATCTGCAAAGAAGTATATACATCCAGGTACATGAAACTCATAGGTTCCAATACAGATTCAACTGTAAAAGGACATCACTTATCACATTGTAATAAAATTGTCAAAAATGAAAGACAAAGAGAATACGTAAGCAAATGACTGATCACATACAAGGGGACTCCCACAAAACTATGAGCAATTTTTTTCAGCAGAAACTTCACAGTTCAGGAGGCACTACATGACATATTCAAAGCGCTGAAAGAAAAATAGTCTAGAATAATTTATTCAGCAAAGGTTCAGAAATGAAAGAGCTATAGAGGTATTCTCAGGTAAACAAAAGCTGAGTAGTTCAACACCACTAGAGTGGACTCACAACAAATGCAAAAAGGCATTCTCTAAGCTGAAATAAAGAATGCTAATTGGAAACATGAAAACAGGTGAAAGTATACATCTCATTGGCAAAGGTAAATATATAGTCAAATTCAGAATATGCTGTATGGTAATGATGGTGTGTAAATAACTCTAGTAGAATGGTTAAAAGACAAAAGTCTTGGCCAATGCTGTGGGGCTGGGGTAGTCAGGCTGGAGCAAATCCTGGGGCTGGTGAAGGGGGGCATGGAGGCACTAGCACAGCACAGTAATGTTGATCTTAGAAACTCTTCAGGGTATGCAGTGGGTTATTGGATGCTGATCAGGCACCTGACTTTAGCATTGTAACAGCTTCAGAGACCATGTGAGAATGTGAGTGGATTGGCCCTATCACTTTAGACATTTCAGAGTTTATATGTTCCTTTCGTACAAGTGATTTCCCAGATTACAGTTCTCTGCTGAGATTTGAGAATTTGGGGAATACCTGGGGCTTTGTAACTTCAGAGGTGCAATCAGCTAAAACATTCACCTTTTGAGGAATTGGATTTTGCCAGTTATCGCTCCTAAATGGGTGCCAAAGAAGGGCTCTGAAAGATGACAGAAGTTATTGTTATAGCCAACGAGGCTAAATTGTCCAGAAGGACCAGGGACTTGACATCAAGAAGAATCAGTGTATGTGGCTACTGAATGACTCCAAGATGTGGTGGCGGGTGAGGACGTGGCCAACAAGACAGGCCACGGTGCTGTTCAACTATGTGGAGAGGAAGAACGGTCTGAAGAGGGGCTCCCTCATGAAGAACCTGAAGGACACACTAGGCCTCAGCAATACCAAGAGGATGACTAGCATGTGGGATTGTCCCTAATACCCAGCACCAATGCTAAGTACCCTGACAACGGGGGGAGGTGGTGCCAACCTCATCCAGGACCTCAATATCCTGGACTTTGAAAATGTCCTACATGATGGAGGGGCAGATGAACTAATCCTGGTAAAGGAGTCTGGTGTCACTGTCATGGAGGAGTGCAGCAATGGCTGGGGGTGTGGCAGCTACAACTGGCCTTTGGGCTTGTTCCCCTAAAACTACTTTATGAGGAGGTGGACAAGCTGGCCACTGAGTCCCCCAACTTCCTCAGCCTTCTGCAGGGCTCATCCCCAAGCAAAGGCCAGGGCACTGCATCCTGCATGTGGTCCATAAATTGTACCCTTTCAGCTTGGTCACCGAGAAACTCAACTTCCAGAAGAGAGAGACCATGAAGGCAATTGAGAAGCCCAAGAACTACCAGGAGAGGGGGAAAATGCAAAAATGCCTGGGGGCAGGCAGGCCTTGTCCCCACCCCCCAAAAAACTACGTTGTGGTCCTCAGCCATGGGCCTGCCCTGTCCACGTCAAATGCCCCATATATCACATACCTGAGGTAAGGGCAGTGGGTGCTTTGCAGGTAGTATGGAAATAACACGCCACCAGGGCACGTGTGCTCTCGATAGGGATGCCGCAGGGCGACTACCTTATTGGGGACAGCAAATCCAAACCCAGTGACTTGTCATGTGTCTCTCAAAGCATCAGAGAGGAATGAACATTTCAAGGTGCAGTTTGTGAAGAATACTGTATTTTTCCGTGTATAAGACACCCCCATGTATAAGACAGCCCCCACATTTCTAACCCCAAATTAAGAAATCAATATTTTAGACAAAAAACAGAACACATTTTTATTTAGTAACTAGAGACCCGGTGCACAAAAATTTGTGCACTCGGGGGGGAGGGGGGGCGGGGTGTCCCTCAGCCCGGCCTGTGCCCTCTCGCAGTCTGGGACCCCTCAGGAGATAACGCCCTGCTGGCTTAGGCCTGCTCCCTGGTGGCAGACGGCAATCCCTAGGTGCAGCCCCTGGTCGGGCTCAGAGCAGGGCTGATTGGGGGGTTGGGACACTGCCCCCTGTCACACTCAAGGCAGGGTCGATAGGGAGGTTGCAGCGCCACCCCCTGTCTCGTAAAGAGCAGGGCCAATCCAGGGGTTGGGGCGCTGCCCCCTGTCATGCACAGAGCAGGGCCCATCAGGGGGTTGAGGAACTCCCCCCTGTCACTCACAGAGTAGGGCTGATAGGGGAGTTGGGGCACCGCCCCCTGTCACACTCAGGGCAGGGCCAATGGGGAGGTTATGGCTCTACCCCATCACACACAGAGCAGGGCCCCTGAGGGGGGGCAGGGTTGGGGCGCCGCCCTCTATCACCCACAGAGCAGGGCCAATCAGGTGGTTGGGGTGCTGCCACTCTTACACTCAGGGCAGGGCTGATGGGGAGGTTATGGCTCTACCTCATCACACACACAGCAGGGCCCGTGGCGGGGGTGGGGGGGCGGTTGGGGCGCCGCATCCTGTCACACACAGAGCAGGGCTGATCAGGGGGTTGAGGCGCCGCACCCTGTCACACAGAGCCGCAGGGCGATCAGGGGGTTGGGGAACTCCCCCTATCAGGCACAGAGCAGGGCTGATCAGGGGGTTGGGGTGCCTTCCCCTGTCATGAACAGAGCAGGGCGGATAGGGATGTTGTGGCCCCGCCTCCTGTCACACACAGAGCCACAGGGTGATCAGGGGGTTTGGGCGCTGCCCCCTGTCACGCTGATCCGGGTGCCGGGCGGCCTCTCGGCTCCGTTGATCCCGGTGCTGGGAGGCATATTCCCCTTTTACTATATAGGATAGAGGCCTGGTGCATGGGTGAGGCTGGCTGGTTTGCCTTGAAGGGTGTCCTGGATCAGGGTGGGGGTCCTCACTGGGGTGCCTGGCCAGCCTGGGTGAGGGGATTATGGCTGTTTGCAGCTGGTCACACACCCTTCAGGGTGGGGGTCCCCACTGGGGTGCCTGGCCAGTCTGGGTGAGGGGCTGAGGGCTGTTTTCAGGCCGACTGAAGCTCCCAACTGCTCCTTTTTTTCTTTTTCTTTTTTTTATTCTGGGCCAGCTTTAGCTCTGGCTCCAGCTCTGAGGCTTCTGCTGCTGAAAGAAGGTATCTGGTTTGTTTTGGTTCTATAATCGAAACACTGTATAACTCCAGCTCTGAGAACCCGGGCTCGCTGAAAGCAGGTTTCTGGGGTTTTGTTTAGCTTCTATATTTGTTACAATGTTTCTTAAACTGCAGGCTCAGAGGCCGGCAAAGCAGGCGGGAACGTTGGTTTCCCCCGTCACAGAAGCAAGCAAGCCTCATGTTAGTTTTAAGCTGCCTGGCTGCCTGCCGCCATCTTGGCTGGCAGTTAATTTGCATATCTCGCTGATTAGCCAATGGGAAGGGTAGCGGTCGTACGCCAATTACCATGTTTCTCTTTTATTAGATAGGATTACTGCAGGTAATGTTTACATACCAGTACTATGATATTATGTAGCATATCATTTTATTTAGCCTCTGTTGCATCACTGCTCTCTTCTTCATCACCATGAGTTCCAGACATATCAATTTCTTCAACTTCTTTGTATCACTGCTGTCTTCTGAGTCACTGTTTATACATGTGAGATCATTTTCATAAACTTGAGAAGGTGCCAACCCATGCATGTGCCCTTGACTGGCATTTTCTGAGCTAACTTTGTTCGTGTTCTCATGAC